TCAAGTGACATTTCAGGCTTTTCAGTCCCAGGTCACGTCTTGAGAAAATTGCTGAAATAATGGAGGGGGCATTTTTCAAGCAGAGCTGCAGCTCCAACAGCTATGTTTACTTTAACGCTTCACTAGTGACTTCTGATTGGTTGTCGTGACCTCATCTCACTGTTGCACCTAGGATGTTGCAACACGGGCATATACATACCCTTCTTGTGAAAAAAATGAGAATAAACACAAAATACATGTTTCAGAAAAGGTGAATGGATAGTAGTTTGTCCATGGATTTGTAGTTGTCCAGTAGTTTGTAGATAAAATACTTTAGGTTTTATTTCCCTTGAGGATGAGCACCTATCTTCCTTCAAACCAAGCTGACAGAATGCTCAACTTGAGAAATATGACTGATAAATTTGTGTAAAATGATCCCTTATACAGCCTTGCCTGAAGACCAAAACAGATAGTTCCATAGGTCAAAGGATTCAACTCTGACCCTTGACCTCTTTGGTCACATGTGGCTTGCAGTATTGGTAGGTTAATATGTAGAGCTGAGTACTTTCAGCTGATTTTTTATTTAGCCAACCACAAGATATTTGAAAAGATGTAGAATTAAGCCCTATTTTCTATTTTCTTTATAATTGGTAATAATTAATAGGCAAATTAACTAGGATAAATCTTCAGTTTTAGCAAGGTTTCATTTGGGGTTAAAAGTACAGTCTGGTTTTGGTTAGGCATTTTTACATTTTATCTATTTGCAGAATCTTCTTGATAAGTACATATCAGTACCAATTTAATTTCTCTATCAAGTTTTCCTCTTTGGTTCTTTGTGTTTGGCGTCACCTGTCTGTTTTAGACCTTTCTGACCTAAGCCATAATTTGTTGATTGAATGACAAATGAAGTATTATTTGTTAGTTAAGTACATCCATAGACTTCAAAGTAAAGAGGGCTTGGAGGCCTGTGTATTCCATTTAAATCAGAAGTATTTGTGCTGAATAAAATACTATGTCTAGCGATAAACTTTTGAGGGTTTTTGCTTAAGATCCCATAGTTTATCTTATAAACACAGTTCTGAAAATAAAACTACAGTTATAGCTACAAAAGTATAGAAAATGTAATGAGATGAATTGAAGAGATAAAGCCTACTTTTACCAATATCTGTCCTCTTGATCACCTTGATCTTCCGCTAGACTGACTGTGTGATACATAGAGTTAATTAACAACTTTATGGATGCTTTGTCTCTTGAAATGTTGGGTATTGGAATTGATTTGGTAAATCATTATGAAAGATGCCAGAAGTTTTATTTATTTAGTTGCAGAATGTTAAATAATTAGTTTGATCATTTTATCTTTTTAAAGATAACAGGAGAGGTTTCCATGTGTATTTGAAATGGCCTAACTTTTCATCTTATGAGAAATTTAGCATGCTTAAGAAATAATTAAATATAAAAGGAATACTTCAATATAAAATGTTTGAGATTCTAATCATAAGTTGTGGTGGTTTCCTTATTAGAGTAGCAATACATAGTTCTTTTACTATATTCTTGATGCCTTTATAGTGTAGTTTTGTATGTAGTGTAGTTTTGGGTAGATTCATTAAAGGTCACACTAACATCTCTACTTATTTTGTTGTGTACTGATTGAATTACTCGGGCTAGAAAGAATCACTTTTTAAAATGACATCTGTTATGATTTTTGAAATAAGTTGGTATTATTCTATTTAAAACAGTTAAATTTAACTACCGATATTTTTCTCTGCTTTGTGTTACTTTATTTGCTTTGACTCAATAGTTTCCATACATTAATGTTGACATGACAAAAATCTTTGTAGCTTAAAGGGATTTTTTTGACGATGTTATATATGACAGAGAATAGAAGGAAAAGATGAAGTTTTACTATGTATCTGTGGTTAGAGCGCGTAGGTGGGATGTTAACTATATTTTGTTACTCGTGCTTTCTCCTACTCATTATAAAATGCTATGAATGGTCTCTGTGAATATTGCATTAATTAATTTATCAAAAAAATTTTAATTGAAAAATGTTAATTTTTTACAGAATGGTAATTGAATTTACAACAAAGACATTTATTAAAATCAGCTCTCATTTCTGCAGAAAATGTTCCTGAATATTTCTTGATTGTTGTTATATTAATTAAATTGGCAATGAAATATCTAAAGTATAAAATATTTTCTAAATAGTTCAGATGTTTAAAGAGAAACGTGCATTGTTGAGATCTAAATGAGAAAAATTCTTTAATTGATTTATACAGTGGTGATTTAAAAATAGAATCATTTTTCATCTGGTGATACCTAAGTGAAAAATTGACATTGTGTCTTTATAAAATTGAACAAATGAGTCACATAATTTTCAGTTACATAATCAATAACTTAGACAAATACTACTTCTTTGATGATTTATATGTGTCTATTTTTATACTTATTTAGATGGGACACTTCAAATTTCAGAGTGTATTTAAAATCAAGTAGGCACAATAATTTTTCAATCTATGATTTCTAAAAATTGATAAAAGTTTCACTCAAATAAGCCTGGGGATATTGTGATAATATTGTTTCTACTGATTAAGTTATAAGTTAGGATAATGGTTTATAATTCTGTGGTTGACTAAATTTTTCTTGAAGAGTTTACCTTTATTTGAAATTTATTCATTGTGCAGAGATGATATTCATATTATATCAATTTATTAAAGTCATACTTTTGTTACTCTGAGTTTGAAATTTTTCATATTATCATTAAAATGTAGTATGTCACTATTTTCATCTCTAAGAATTATAAGATTCTATTTTGGGTTTGCTAACTCTAACTCCTGTGTGAGTATGAGAGGGGTGTGTGTGTGTGTGTGTGTGTTTAAAGTTCAATTCACTCAGAGAAGGCAGGGAAGAAACATGACAGGAGACCACTTACTCACAGTACAGAATCTAGTAAGGAGGCAATTTTCTTTTTGGCCTATGGTGACCTTTTTTGACTATGTTCCTTACACCAGAGACAGTGTACTGAATGCCTCTATTTCACCCTGTTTAGCAGAGTGCAACAGTGTTCTTTAACTAACTTTTGGTGGGAGGAGAAGTTATGGCTGAAATTTGAGAAGGGCGTGAAAAGTTGTAAGAGGCACAAGGGAGAGGGGTAGGAACTTGCTTCAAATGTGATTTTAATAACTAGTCAAGTGTGTCCAACTGTAGAAAATCACCAAGTGACAATCTGTCTACCTGACAGTGATCACAATGAATTACAAGACTTTTGAATAGCTATACAGATTAGAATAAAGCAGGACGAAATAAAATATCTTTTGTTGGTAAAACTTTGGACTTACCAGCTAGGAAACTTAAAGAAAAAAAAAAATTCTCCTCTTGTGCTTTGATGTAGTATGTTTAAATTTAAAAATTTGTGAAGTGTTTTATAAGCCTTTCATGAAAGAGAGATTTATCTAAAAGTTTTATTTGAACATCTGTTGAAGAATATATGATGTTTTATCAGTTTGCTATATATTATTATGTAGTTTTCACATATGTAAGATGACTATATCTTAATTAATAGTCCTATCATTAAAATCAGAACTTTAATGATCTTGAATATTTCCAAACCAAATGATGGTTTTAGACAATAATATCATTTGATTGGGGGTAAAAATTGAACCAATCCCAATGAAGTTTGTAAGTAGTTTGTGAAATCAACTGTAAAAATGACCAGACATGTGCAGCAGTGTAGCATATTTAAAAATAAGATAATTGAGTCAGTGGTAATATTGGTTTATTATTACAAACAGTTTTTAAAAATCACCTTCTTGTGGTTGGTTTGGAAAAAGAGAATTAAATTTTAAACTTCAAGTTTCAAGATTTTATAGTCATACTTCTGAAAAAAATATATAGTACCTTTTTTTAAATAAGGATAAGGATAAAATTTTATAACTTTTATTTTCTATAGCTCTTATGTTCTTATTGTAATATAACACGTCTTTTAAATGTGACCTTAAAGTATTTTACAAGGACATAATTGGGATACCCACGATATAGAATTGAATAGAAAAGATAAGATATATAATAGCTTCAAAAATTTGTGTTGCACATGCTTGTCAGTGGTTATTGTTTATCCTCTGTTTTCTCATGGTTAAGTTATTCCATCAGTTATAATATAAATATCAAAAGTTTCCTTAATTATAACCATAGAAATATTCGCCTAGTTAGAAATGAGTCAGAGAGGAAAACATACGTTTTACAAACTTTAAAAAAAGCCTTAATGGCTCAACAAGCTATATTTGTTAACTTTGGAACTGTACTTGTTTCCTGGTCCTAGTTTTTAATAAAGAGAAATTATTATGGTAGTTTGAAAATGAAAGCAATTTCAAGATTAAAGAGTTACTTCCATGCATTATAGTACCACTGTGGCTTATTTTGTTTTATGATTTGTCTTTTCTACTCAAAGAAAAGAGGTGAATAAAATCCAAGGTGCACAGGTAGATATTGTATGCTCCTGATAATATAGATATATAAATTTGTAGAATGTTGGATCTGATTTATTCCTTTTTAATTGCTTATTTGTTCAAACAAATAAAAATGCTCATTAAAGGGCAATTGTAAAGGAACAAAATCCATGAAAATGTAGTTTGAATTGTAAACTTCAATTTCAAAGACGTTATTTTCTCAAAATGTATATTTTAAATTTCAGGGCGGTTTCAAAGTATTCTTGTTATTTGATAATTTATTTCAATCATTTTTGGGGTTCTGGGAGATATGAATTACACTTTTTAAAATTTAAGCTTTATAATCTTTGTATTGCAATGCTTTCTTCTTATATGTGCTTATTTACATATACAATAAAGGCAAGCAATTTTAAGTGACTTTCTTTTGGAAAAATTAAAACCATAATTATTTCTAAAGGAATATTTAAGTGAATATACAAGTATATTAAATTACTTAGTCTGAGATTTTACAAATTTTTTTTAATAAATTGAAATAGATTCAAAGATTAAATTATGCCACCTTCTTTCATTTCAAAACAGGAAGGATATGGAGTAATAGTACTGAATCCCAATGAAAACTATATCGAAGTAGAGAAGCCGAAGATACATGTACAGTCATCTTCTGATAGTTCAGATGAACCAGCAGAAAAACGGGAAAGAAAAGATAAAGTTTCTAAAGAAACAAAGAAGCGACGTGATTTCTATGAGAAGTATCGTAACCCCCAAAGAGAAAAAGAAATGATGCAGTTGTATATCAGAGTAAGTGAGATCACTGCTTTCCTTCATTGTTACTTTTACTTTATTTATATTTTATTTTATATAAACTATTGTTTTTTAAAGAAACTATTCTTTAATTTTTAGTCACTTATTTCCCATAGTTGTCTACTTAGCTGAAATGCTTTCTGATTTTTTATTCCAAAGTACAAAACACATCATCCTTATCTCAGTGTTACATTTTATAGAAGTCTCAAATGCAAATGCTGTTTCCTTCTGTGTCATACACTACTTCAAGGAAAATGTTCTAAAATAATTTTATTGTGATATATACAAAATAAAGAAAACTTTCCAATCCGGCTTCCCAACATGCTATTTCTTCAAGGTATTATGCTGTTATGTTGTCCATAAGAGAGAGTACATGTAGCCTAATAATTCTCAGACATAGTACCTGCTGAAATAATAATGCACTATACAAAACATTCTTCATCATGAGTGGTAAGTTTTACTGGATAATGCTTTGTTTTCCTATGAGCAACCATCCATCCACGGTGTCTCAGAACTTCTGAAGGCAGATAGAGGGAGGAAGGCTAATTAATATTTTAATAAACATTTAAGCTAAAGTAGTTCAGCAATAGTATAATGAAGGAACTCTGTCCTTTGCTCCTGTCCCATCCAGCGAACCTTTGCACTTTGTAGTGCTGGCAGCATGGGATAAAAGTATAATAGCAGTGCTGCCCTATGATTTCCAATTCTGCAGAGGGCACAAACAATTTTATTTGCACTACGACATATTCTGTTTGATATACATACTATGCATTATATATATGAGACATTTGTGAAATTTTCAAAGCCCTTATTATGGATGCTAGAAGTCTAACTTAATCAGAACATTTAAACATAGAGAAATTAACATTTTATAAATGACACTGTAGAATAATAGTAACATTTCAGATTTTTCAACTTGAGCTATTTTTACTTCACTTTAAAAGATCATTAATGAAATACTTCATACCACCTTTGAAGGGAAATATTAATACATTGCTTTCTAAGGTTTTATTTTCTATATTATACTCCTAGTCCACAGCATAATTGCTCTAGTTTCTGGAATTGCACTTCTAACATTTAAGACTTTTGATTATGTGTCAGTCTATTGAGTAAGAAATGACAGTTAAGGAGTAGTGAAAGCAACATATAAATTCTCAAGACCCAAAAAAAAGGTATCCTGCCCAAGAACACCCAAAACACTTCATACAATGAGTCAAGCAAAAGTTAGGCAGATTATATTTAAATTTCTGAGAAGCATCTCACTACTTATAATATATAATTTGTAAAACAAAAACAGTTATAAGATTTAGAATCAATAAGTAGCTTGTTTGTTCTAATGTAGTTGTATTACCCCCTTTCTTGTATGTGACTACATCAGGGGCATGATGCTACCTTGTTCTCTATCAGTTGTCCTAAGCTTCCTTCTATATGATCCAGTCTGCCAACCACCATCTTGTGACACAGTTAAAATTTTTTTTAAATTACCTCTGGTATCCAAACTCCATCAGTTAATTGTGTAAGGTTTTTGAAATATACAGTCATAAAGAGTATTTACTTGTATATGTAGAATGCAAGCAAAAAGTGATTTTTTTGTACTAAGTTTTTAATTTCTTCTGAAATAGTTTCTTTTATTTGCCTGTGACATGTACAGATTAAGCATCTATCTCAGACATCAGATATCTGTCCTGTAGGTTTATTTCTTCCTTTCTGTTTTCTCTTTATCTTGTCACCATTGCTTTGATTTTTTTTTCTTTTGTTCTCTTATATGTGCGTATTTTGTTTATTCTGTTTTTTACATCTGCTTAATTTATCCCTGCATCTATTTCTTTTCCACCAGGGAAAAAAATTTCTTTTTATATTGCTTCATTGTTAAGACCTCTCTTTCCTTTTTTTTTTTTTCTTTAATGCTTTTCTCTCATTTACACTCCTGTCATTTTTACTTCTTTTCCTTAAGTCTTTTTGCTTCTTTCTTATCCCATTTCACTCATCAGTCTACTTTCTCACTGAAAGACAAAAATAGACTCATGTGGATAACACAAGTTTGTATCTGATAGTCTTGCTTATGAAATCATTTTTCTAGATAAATGCCATCTCTCTTTGCATCTTCTGAAATTGTGCAAAATAACAGTGATATGCTGATACTGTTCAAACATACTTCTAGATAGTAAGGCTTGGTCCTATAGTAAGAAAGAGAAGAATGGTTCGTTCTGTATAAGGTGCATTACTTCTGAAGTAATTTTGGTCCACTCAAGAAATGACTTCTTCTAGTGCTCTTCTTCCCGCTGTGTATCTCCAAATAACAAGTGTTTGTAATTTTCAGATGCATTGTTATTAGACAGAGCATGGTATGTAATAAAGCTAAATTAACTTTTATTGATATACTTCTTATCATTTTGAAATTATCATCTATTCTTTGCTACAGCCTAATATATATGTGGATCACATCATTTTATCCTTATTTAATAGTTAAGGAAACTAATGCACAGATGTTTGTCTGGGATTACACAGCTAGTAAATGGTATAACTGAGTGTTGAAACCAGGACTTCTAATTACTGTAGATTTTTGCCGCCTTTCCTCTTTACCACATTGTTCCATAGGTTGAAAACAAAAGGTATATCTAAAATATGAAAATTAAATCATATACACTAAAAGTATGATATGATATAGCAAACTACATCTGATGAGGACTAAGATTTTTAACCATTTATCATTTAATAGATACTAACTTGCTTATAAATAATTTATATATATGTGTGTGTATATATATTCTCTTTTAATAGTATCACTAATATTAATTCAGATTTACAGATGAGGAAACTGTGGGTCAAAAACTTTTAGCTTTCAGAGAGTGTCAACTGAGTCTGCAGATGCCATCTGGGAGCTCTTGTGTCCCCTCCTGTGCCACTTCTTGTTGCAACTAATTAAGGCCTTTGTTTAAAAAAAAAAAAAAAACAAAAAAAACTTATAGTAATTTTCCCAAGGTCACATAGTTCTTCATTGAAGCTTCATGAGGGCAAGCACTTAGTATGTTTTGCTCATTGCTGTATCCCAGAGCCTAGAACAGAGCCTTCATAATAAGTATTTGTAGAACAAAACCTTCACAATAAATTTTAAATAAAGTAACAGAGCCAAGATTAAAATCCCAAACTGCTACTACTTTTTTCATATGTCCTGTATTGTTTAAGTATGCTACTTGATTTTCTATGAGGAAACAAACCAAACTACATTGTTGGTGTCCTACTCAATCCAGTAGCCGAGATTACATTCCAAAAAATAATGATAAAAAGTGAGTATGTCAAGACTTATTTGGTACCTTGATTGATCTATACATTTCCATCTGAATATATAAAAATAGAATGTACTATTTTCCTTTTGAGCTATAACATCATAGTGCAAAATTTTGGATAAAAATGGAAATGTTTCATCCTGACTTAATGCTATTTCAAAATTATACATTTGCCCTTAAGAGGATAGCCAGGCTGCTCTGTTTGCCGTGTCCTGTACATACTTTGCTTTATGGAATTTGTAACTTTGCTTCCTGTTCTTTCCCGCATCCAAATTCTACCCATTTTGTAGTGCCCAGCTGAAAATGCCACCTCCTCCTCTCACTATAACCAGTGACCTCTTTTTACTAAGACTCTTAGAAGTTATTATTAGTTAACTTATGTGGAATTTATCATGTGCTCTCAGATACCCCTCTTATATTTTGTCTTATAATTTTATTAATATTACCAATTTATCTTTCATGCCTCTCCACTAGATCTTCCCATAATCCTCCAGATCTTTGAGCTTACTTTATATATATTGGCATTGCATATCAATCTTTAATAAGCAGATATGAGCCACTTTTTGCAATAGCACAGAGAATATTGTGAGGGAGTCAGGAACTGATACTAATCCCGCCCAGTAGGATTTAATCTCCTGAAGGAAACCAAAGCAAAAAGATGAGGCATTAGTCTAGAGATACCTAGATAAAGGGACTTGCAGCTTGTAACTGGGGAACCTGCGGCCTTGGGGCCATATGTGCATTCTGGATCCTTGAATGCAGCCTTTTGAGTGAATCCAAATTTTACAGAATGAATCCTTTTATTAAAACGGGTGCAGCAGAGAAAGATGAAGCTTTTCTTGCCTCCTTTGGTTATTACAAAAGAACAATCTTGAAATCAGAAGGCCACAGAGTTCCCCACCCCTACAAGTGACTTGATGTTCATCTATCTAATGTTGAGTTGAAAGTGCTTGATCATTTCTTTCCCACAGTGAGACTTAGTTGTGGGCTGCTCTTGTGTGAAGGAGAGGGCTTAGAACCAGCATGTGAAAGAAAACAAAAACAAAAACAGACAATGGGGATGGAGAAGAGGAGAGTTACATTGGCAGCAAAAGGAAAAGTTGAAATGTGGAGGAGACATTTACAGAATAGGAATCTTGGCAGAGCCTGGCATTGCACATTGAAGATACTCAAATATTTATGGATTGATTGCCCGTTGACATCCGTCAAAAATCTTACTCCTTAACATGCAAGATATTTGGTGTTGTCTAGTTTTCTGACTGATATTTTCGACATTCATATGAATTTTTGCAATTTTTCACAAACAGCTCTGATAAACTGAATCTTTCTTTTAAAAAGTATATTTCTGAGGTTCTGACTTGATATGTTCATAGTGTTGGTGAGGACCAATAAATGTTATCCTGTCTTCTGAACCTCTTCTCTTCTTTACTGATGCCAGTGGAGTCATTTCTGTCTTGTGTTTTAGCAACCAAATTCAATTTATTTATGTTACAAATAATGATTGTTTAATCTCTGGAACTATTTTATTTTCTTAGTATATTCCAGTATTTAAATTTTCTTTTTCTCTAGTATCTTAGTAACCAATCTAATTTTCAAATTTTTATCGATATCTGGTATACACAGAAGTAAAGTAGAATCCAGGCCTAAATCTTTAAGATTAGCAAAGTATAATTTTATTTTACTTACCAAATGAGTATAAATAGATGTAAC